TATCAATAATTATCAAAAAAAAGTTGAACTTTTGACTCACCATCGCAAAGGGACGCCAAAACGTTCGGAGGGGGCAGGGCCACTTTTAGTAAAATGCCTATAACTCCTGAACGGAATGAGATATCTTCGCCAAACTTGGAACAGTTATGTAAGAGCTCAAGCTGAGGTCACAGGAAAAAAATCATGGAGATTGGCCACTTGGTGGCGCTATAAGAGGGAAGAAACTTAAAAATGGCTATAACTAGGTAACCATTTGTCCTATCAACATGAAAATCGCTGTGCACGGTCTTGGTCCAAAGTGCCACAAGTGTCTATGGGGACATTTGCGTATCTCAAAAAAAACATGGCCACCATTGGGCGATGAAGTTTGAGCACCTCTTATTTTTGAAATTGAGCTTTCAATTGATGTATGGTTTGTTAGGATAGGACAATATTTGGCCGAGATACAACTATTTGAAAATCTGGAATCTGAGGGTGCAAAAAAATCTAAATGTTGAGAAAATCGCCTTTAAAGCTGTCCAAATAAAGTTCTTAGCAAAGCATATTGCTTATCAAAAATTAAGTTTTGATATATTTACGGTACGAAATGTACAAAATATCTTCATGGAACATGATCTTTATTTAATATCCTAATGATTTTTGGCATAAAAGAAAAATCGATAATTTTGACCCATACAATGTATTTTAGGCTATTGCTACAAACATACCCCAGCGACTTATGACTGGTTTTGTGCTCCAGGGTCACATATAAAGAAGTACGAGTGTAACGGTGTTATATTTTTAAGGGGCAAAGTTCTCAGAGTTGAAGAAATAGCCTGCAGAAAATACTGAAAGAAGTGTTTTACCATTCTCTCTGTGCTATTCTCAACTAAACACAATAGAGAAAGAAAAGTCTGATGAAGCTTTACTGCAATACAGACGGAAACGATTCGTTTCTCATTCAGAGAGAAAACTATTATCCTCACACTTTGAAGCGGAACACAGTTATTTTCTCCGGTGAGGAGATTGAGTGCAGTTGTTTTGTGTGCTTGTGTTTTTAGAGAGCTCAGGGCGCTCGTGGTCGAGATGGTTTTGGCCACTGACATGTCCTGCCACTTCCAGCAGGTCAAAGCCATGAAGAATTTCCTCCAGCAGCCCGAGGGGTGAGAAACCTTTACAAACATGCTTCACTGTTGTCTGTCACCTCCTGCCTCATCTGTGTCTCCCCAGAGCCAGATGTTATTGCTTAGAGTTTGCTCTTTCATAGCTGGAGAGACGTGATGAAGATGGATGTTTCTCAAGATGTTTCTTCTACTGTTTCTGTGGAGAAATAAAAATAGACAAATGATACATACAATAAAATAAAATGAATGCAGCTTAACTGAATTAATTTGATTAGAAATTCTTATTGAGGAGTTCATATTGAGATCCTGTCTTTTGATTGCATACTTGATTACAAAATCTGAGCACAATTTGATGTGTTTTTTCTATCTCCTGAAACTAAAAGATTACTGTGGTCTTTTTCTCAGAAGGAGCAGTTTTTAATGCAGGGAAATGACACAAAAGTAAATTTTATTGTCATGTGTCAGAAAAACACATATTTATCACCTATTGGTCTTAAATTCTTTTTTAAATATATAAATAATGTCTTCAAGCTTCAAATTTAATTCCCTTCCATTCATAATTTCTTACACAATTTTGCTTCTAAATGGTTTATTGATTTATTTATTTTTTTTAATATTTTCGCTGGAAAGCTAGAAACAAATACTGATCGAGATAAAATATAATTTTCCAATTAAAATATAATTCTATTTCCAATAAATCAAAGAAAATATTTGAAAAAATATGATTTTATATATATATTTTTTTCTTTGATTAATTGGAAATGTTTATCCTTAGCTATTGACTGTAACAAACTGAATTCTTTTTATTTTTTTTTATACATTTGTCTGTTTAATTTGAATGTTTATTGTGAGATAAATCTTATTCGAATAAATGATGCTGGTTTTTGAGCTGTATCTGTCTTAGATTTTAGTAATAAACACTGCAATCCCCCATAAATAAATAACTTTAATAAATAAAATTATATTATATTATATTATATTATATTATATTTGCTCTCTGTTTTAATTTCATTGTCGTGTTAGAGCAAACACATATTTATCAGTGGGATTGGTGTGTGTTTTCCTCAGAATTGACAAACCCAAGGCTCTGTCTCTGCTGTTACACACGGCTGACATCAGTCATCCAGCCAAGAACTGGGATCTACACCATCGCTGGACTACGTCACTGCTGGAGGAGTTTTTCCGACAGGTTCGACGCATTTTTGTTCTTTAGATGCGTTCAACGAGTGTTTGCGTTTATATGTGTGTGTGAGAAGAGCAAAGCACAGCAAGAAAAATCTCATCTTCTTCTATGTATTTTAATCCTCTCTCTTCCTGTTCTCTTCTGATTGCCCTTTCATCCAATCACACGTAAGCCTGCGCCAGGATTATCACAGGCCACAGAAACGAGAGCATGTGGAGAAGCGTGTCATTCGAGCTTGTTTACACCTGATCATAAACCTCTGAAAATATTTGGCTTTCACAGCCCTATCGAATGCTGGTCCCGAAATTACGCTTTGGCACGATTATGTGACTTATCAGTGTGAACAGCACTTTGCTCTACTTTTAAACATCACAGCAATGTCACATATGCATGTATTCTGTAATATTACTCATTTCACATACCTTGATTGTTCACATTTTGTTGTGTATTTATGTGAAAACCTCACCAAATTATTTACGATTTATGCTTAAAACAAGAAAAAACTATTTCCCAAAGGAGTAAGCAAAACATACTGAATTAGGGGTTCAAGCGCGTAGCTATTGTAATTGTTAGAATGATCACGGATGAGCAATTTCCACGTCAAACTGATCATGCAGACCAAACCGTAAGTCGTAGAGACTTGAAACTAGGAGGGATGGTAGTACTCACACCGCCTACAACGTGACCGAGGCTCACCCCAATCGGCCTGACGGGGGCGCTACAGCAATCGAAAGTAAGAAATCGCTCACAAAACGCACGCCTCAGATTCAATCGTGAGCCTGGCGAAATTTTCGGGTATTTCGCATTTTTTTCAAAACCGTTTTTTGCGAACTAGTCCTAGGTTTTTCGCCCTATCGTAACCAAACCAGTGCAGAAAGATTCTCTGAAGAGTGAATATCAATAATTATCAAAAAAAAGTTGAACTTTTGACTCACCATCGCAAAGGGACGCCAAAACGTTCGGAGGGGGCAGGGCCACTTTTAGTAAAATGCCTATAACTCCTGAACGGAATGAGATATCTTCGCCAAACTTGGAACAGTTATGTAAGAGCTCAAGCTGAGGTCACAGGAAAAAACCATGGAGATTGGCCACTTGGTGGCGCTATAAGAGGGAAGAAACATAAAAAGGGCTATAACTAGGTAACCATTTGTCCTATCAACATGAAAATCGCTGTGCACGGTCTTGGTCCAAAGTGCCACAAGTGTCTATGGGGACATTTGCGTATCTCAAAAAAAACATGGCCACCATTGGCCGATGAAGTTTGAGCACCTATTAGACAAGGTTAACGGAGGCCGATCGGAACAAAACTCGGTGGGCTTGTTTGACTCACGGCCCCAAAGGTCTGTGAGAAATTTGAAATGAATCAGCCACTGGGGGGTGGTATCGCATTTTTTGAGGTCGTAAACGATTGTACATTGCGCAGTTTTCCGCACATAAACGCGATATTCGTATCGTATGATAGACCTCCTTGTTCCAAACAGCTTTGCCTCTAGAACCACTGCTGGTAATCATACCTTTTTTTAAATGATTGAGAAGATGTGAAAAACCTACTTTTGTGAACTAGTCCTAGGTTTTTCGCTCAATCTGGAAAAAGCCACCGCAGTGCAATTCTCTGGACTCTCTAGGTCAATAATGATCAAAAACATGTCGAAATTTACCCTTTTGGAGGCTATAATGGGGTCCTTTAGAAAAGGGGCCTATCCAAATATGCCCCAAAGCCTATAAAGCCTCGAAAACTCAAAACTTCACGAAACCCGCTGAGCACATGCGACAGGTGATTCTAAACAAGCACGCAAAGTTTCAGGGAGATCGGACCACAGCTGGCGCTATAACAGTCATAAACGTTATAAAAACATCATATTTCTATGGTAAATCACCTGGATTTGACAAAAATGCTTTTTTAATAATTGATTTAGGTGGTTACAGGCTTGCTAAATAATATGTAATGTCTTTTTCCTTATGTGCTTGAATACCTAAAGCGCTTGAACCCCAGTAATCGCTGCTTGCAGCTATATTTTAAAATGTATTTTCAGAAAAGTCTTTAATATCCTAAATCAGAATTTAAAATTCACTTTTCAAAAATCTGATCACTGAAAGTATCTTCAGTAGAACAGAAAGTCCTGAACGATTTTAAATTGTGGATGGAAAAACAGGAGATGCTTCTATTAAGCCTGTTTCACACTGCTGACTTAAAGGAATAGTTCGCCAAAAAAAAAAAAAGAACATTAGCTGAAAATTTACTCACTCTCAGGCCATCCAAGATGTAGATAAGTTTTTTATGGGAACAAATTTGAATAAATGTAGCATTACATCACTTGCTCACCAATGGATCCTCTGCAGTGAATGGGTGCCGTCAGAATGAGAGTCCAAACAGCTGATAAAAACATCACAATAATCCACAAGTAATCCACACCACTCCAGTCCATCAATAAATGTCTTGTGAAGTGAAAAGCTGCATGTTTGTAAGAAACAAATACATCCATCATTAAGAGGTTTTTAACTTCAAACTGTTGCTTCCAGCTAAAATACGAGCCCTCTATCCATAATATTGCTTTCTCCAGTGAAAAAAGTAATCTTGTCTGAATCAGGTGAGAAATATTTACAGATCAAGCACCGTTTACAAGCAAAAAACAGTTCTAAACAAATATGATGTTAGATTTTGATGTGAGAGGAGGACAACAGGTGATGAACTTTTTTACTGGAGGAAGTATTATTATAGATTATGGACTGAAACAAAAAGTGTTGGTTTAAAGTGAAAACGTCTTAATAATGGATTCGTTTATTACAAACATGCAGCTTACTTGTGGATTATTGTGATGTTTTTATCAGCTGTTTGAACTCTCATTCTGACGGCGCCCATTCACTCCAGAGAATACATATATATAAATATATAAAATGTAGGTATGTATGTATTGATATTTTTTTTGGTTGAATGTTATCGATTATCAACACAGGCCCAATGCACCAATGGGCTCCTCCTGTTTCTGTTGCTTTGTATAGTGAACAAAGGAAGGGAATTGCTTTCTCTGTATTACCTCCTGTTCTTACCCATCATGTGTCTTTTTATCTGTTATTAAAGTGACTGTTATAAAGCACATTCACAGCTCTATTCTCCATAGAGTGGGCTACATAAATATGCTTTGATTGATTGACAGATGAGAGGACTGGAGCTATTCCTGTGTGTGTGTCTAGTATTGTTCCAGCAGCTGAACACTCCAGGAGACAGATCAATCGTGACAGGCCCAACATAAAAGCGTGACAGTTTATTTTAGTCTGCCTTCAAGAAATGTTTGTGAATATTTCATATACGAAACAAATCTTTATAAACCTGATCCAGTGCAGCAACTGTCCATTAGTCGTGTCATTTCATAAGCATTTAGCTGTGGCAGTAAACCTCTATTAATAATTGTGCAATATATTTAGAAATGCCAAAATTGTCTCCTGAGAATAGTGTAATGTTGTTATAGGAGTTGTTATGGGGAAGTCGTGGCCCAATGGTTAGAGAGTCGCGGGTTCGAGTCTCGTACCAGCAGGGATTGTAGGTGGGGGGAGTGAATGTACAGCGCTCTCTCCCACCTTCAATACCACGACTGAGGTGCCCTTGAGCAAGGCACTGAACCCCCAACTGCTCCCCGGGCGCCGCAGCATAAATGGCTGCCCACTGCTCCGGGTGTGTGTTCACGGTGTGTGTGTGTTCACTGCTGTGTGTGTGCACTTTGGATGGGTTAAATGCAGAGCACTAATTCCAAGTATGGGTCACCATACTTGGCCACGTCACGTCACGTCACAGTCACTATAGCAATGCAGCTGCATGATGTGTTTGTGTTTGCAGGGCGATAAGGAGGCAGAACTTGGTCTACCTTTCTCACCTTTGTGCGACCGTAAATCCACTATGGTGGCTCAGTCCCAGATCGGTGAGTGACACAAACACACTCTAAGTATGGAGACAATTATATTGCAATATTGCAATTGTGAATTGCGCTAAATTGTAATACTCATATTAAAGGAATAGGTCACCTCAAAATGAAAATTTGCTGAAAATTAACTCACCCCAGGCCATCCAAGGTGTAGATATGTTTGTTTCTTCATGGGAACAGATTTGGAGGAATTTAGCATTATATCACTTGCTCACCAATGGATCCTCTGCAGTGAATGGGTGCCGTCAGAATGAGAGTCCGAACAGCTGATAAAAACATCACACAACTCCAGTCCGCCAATTAACGTCTTGTGAAGTAAAAAGCTTCATGTTTGTGAGAAAAAAAAATCCATCATTAAGATGTTCTAACTTTAAACCATCGCTTTTGGCTAAAATATGAGTCCCTCATCCATAATAATGCTTTCTCTAGTGTAAAAGTCCATCTCACATCAAAATATACCGAAAAAACTGTTTTGGACCGTTTTTTTTTTCTTTGTAAACTGTGCTTGATCTGTGAAGATTTCTCTCCTGATTCAGATGAGACCATTTTTTTTCACTGGAGGAAGCAATATTATGAATAGAGGGCTTGTATTTTAGCCGGAAGCAATTATTTGAAGTTAAAAACCTCTTATTGATGGATTTGTTTTTTACAAACATGCAGCTTTTGGCTTCACAAGATGTTAATTGATGAACTGGAGTGGTGTGGATTATTTGTGGATTATTGTGATGTTTTTATCAGCTGTTTGGATTCTCATTCTGACGGCACCCATTCACTGCAGAGGATCCACTGGTGAGCAACTGGTGGAATGCTAATTTTCTCCAAATATGTTCCCATGAAGAAACATGGCTGGCCAGAGGGTGAATAAATCCTCGGCTCATTTTTGGGTAAACTATTCGAAACGGGGGGGAAAAAATTCTATTTTAGCTTTAAACTTGCAATAGTTGAAACACAGAGCTTTCTTGAAGACCATACATATGGGGATAATTTATTCAAATAGCTTCTTGAAAAATCAAGCTCGGTGCAAAAAATAAGCCATTTTTATTATTTCCCTCAGGTTTCATTGACTTCATCGTTGTTCCCACGTTTACGGTTCTGACGGACATGACCGAGAAGATCGTCACACCGCTCATCGAAGAGGCCACAAGTTCAGGCCTGGCTGGTTTCCGCAGGTCTGGAAGTCTGTCTTGCATTTTTTGCTTCTCCAGTACAGGAACAGAGATAATGAATGGACATTAAGACAGACAAATTGAAGCTCAGGCCGCTCTAATAGTGCCTCGTGGCAAAGCTTGTCTTTGTATCGAATCCCAATTCACTGATGCTATTGCAGTCATGACTGCAAATCCAATTCAGTCCTGCTCAGATACCTCAGTTTCATCGTTTAGAGACAAAGAGTGAATGTGAATAAATGCCTTGTAATTCAGTAAAAAGTGATCCATCAGTTCAGACAGAAATCAGAGTGACTCTACTTTAACACTCTTTTAGCTTGCAAGTTTCTTTGGATTTTGTAAGTAGGAGTTGAATTGCTGCTGCTGACTGAGCATTAGAGCACCTTCTCACTTTTCGAAGCAAATAACGTCTTCTGCACACAAAGTGCTGAATTCTATCCCTTCCATTTAGAATATACAGTAAACTAAACCAGATCAAAGGTTCATAGACAGGACAGAGCAGCAGCAGCAGCATATTGATGATCAACAGAGCAGGAAAACAACAGAACCGTGTGGCTAGATGGAGTATTAAATGAAATGTAGGTAGATGTGGAGATGTTACGGAAGCCTAGTGGATGTGATGTGATTGCTGCCGATGCATTTGTAATGTGATTTGTGTCCCCATCATCTCAAACAGCATTACTACGGGAGATGCGAAGCAGAGCAGTGTGAACAGCTCTGGTTCTGATGGCAGTGGATCTCATAGCTGCTCGCTGCTCACTGTGGACCTGAAGAACTTCAAGGCCATCTGGAACGAAGAGGTTTCTCTGAACAGAGAGTGGTGGAAGACGCAGGCAGCTAAAGGTGTGAACAGACTGTTCCCTGCAAGAATGCATATGTTATGTATTGGTATGCAAAATAAAACATCCTCAAACAGGATTGTTTGCACATTGGAACTCAATGGCAACACAAAATTAATATGAAATTAATTGTGTTTTATTTAGGAGAAAATACAAAATGTTCATTGAGCTGCAAATCAGAATGATTTCTGAAGGATCACGTGACACTGAAGACTGGATTAATGATGCTGAAAATGTTAAAATATATTTAAATTGAAAATAGTTATTTTAAATTGTAATACAATTTTACAATATTATTGTTTTAATGTCTTTTTGATTAAATAAATGCAGCCTTGGTGAGCAGAAGAGACTTTCAAAAAATCTTACTGAAACAAACTTTTGAATGGTAGTGTAATAAATTAGTATAAAATAAAACGTGAATTTGTTTCTCATTGATCTTTTGATGTAAAAGCTTCTGCTTGAAATTAGTTATTGACAAATGCATTCATTTTGCCTATGCATAAATTTCTATACATGACTAACATTTTAATTTTAAAAAAGTTGGAGTTGGATTGGATAGGAAAACTAACCATAAGTGTCCATGATGCATGTAAAGTCCTTCAATAGTGTTTAAAAACCCAGGATGCACCTTGTGAATTTGGGAGTGAAAATGTTGAGATGAGAAGCACAAATTGAAGTATGGGAATTATTTCATAGTTTGATGACTTAAACTGGGAAAATAGTTCTGAACTGTTACAGTACATCCAAACTGTTGTAGTATTTTGCACATTTTATGCATTCTGAGTAAGCAAATAGTGAATAATGCACCTCCTGCTGTGTCTCCAATCAGAGACGGAGGAGAAGGCCAAACGAGAGCAGGAGGAACAGCAGGAGGCAACAGCAGAAAACCAGGAGCACAAAAAAGACCCAGAGCTGTCGGGACCAAAGGAAGACAGGGGGGGAGAGGACGACCCGGAGCCAGGGGGGGTAAATGGACCCCCAGAAGAAAGTCCCCATGACAAATCAAATAACGAAGAGGCACATCAGAACTTACAGAACGGTATTGTGTTCAATGGTATAATGTTACCATCAGCTCAGTTAATGTTGCTCAGGTGTAACTTTTAGTATTGACTGCCCTCTGGTGGATAATCAGAGGAGTAATAAAAATAATGCTATGTGCAGAATAGAGTAATAGCATACTGCTTAATGCATACTGTGCATTATATACTCAGTACTCAATAATCACATAACCTTCTATCTATCTATCTATCTATCTAGAGATAGATTTGTTTAAAAAAAAGTCATTTTAGAACTAGAAGGTTAATTAGTGCATTGTATTTTGGTATGCATGTGGTTATTCAGTGTATCCTGAGAATATGCATACTTGTGCACAGTACTATATATATATTTATTTATATTATATATATATATATATATATATATACAGTGGTGTGAAAAAGTGTTGGCCCCCCTTTATTTTTATAGGGCAGTCGGTAGACAGGAAGCGAAGCGGGAGAGAGAGGGGGGCGGGATCAGGAAAGGTCAGCAAGCTGGGACTCGAACTCGGGACGCCCGAAGCGTAACGGCACTAAATGTCGGCGTGCTGCCCGCGAGGCTATCGCCACTGACACTTGTCTATATTTTGAAAAAGTAGTCAAAATAGTATTGTAGTATGCCATTCTGAAAATGTTTTACTGTATTGCTACAGTGTTTGTGGTGATTTTTTTGTTTTTTGTTTTTTTTGTCTGTTCATCTCTAATAATCTGATGTCTGTAAACAGGAGAAGTGTCTGAAGAGGCAGAATTACCAGCAGATGAAGACAAGAGAACACTCGATGGTAAACATACACGTTTATTCTGTAACAGAGACTTCTGTTGCTGCTACTTACAGTGACACTAACAACATATTAGGCAATTAATGTCTGAATGTTAATGCATCATATAATAAAATATCAAAACAAGTGGAATTTTTTAAGAAAGATAGAAAAACATTTAACAAAAATAAGCTTGTATAAGATACACTACGGTTCAAAAGTTTGGGGAAAAATTCAGCAAAGATGCATTAAAGTGACATTAAAGATCTTTGTAATGTAACAAAATAATTTTATTTCAAGTAAATGCTGTTGTTTTCAATTTTATGTTCATAAAAAATTCTGAAATATTACATATATTTCTACAACAATATGAAGCATTGGTAATAAGAATTTTTTCTTGAGAATCAAATCAGCATGATAGAATGTTTTCTGAAGGATTATGTGACACTGAAGATGGGAGTAATGATGCTGAAAATTCAGCTTTGCATCACAGGAATAAATTACATTTTTACTATATACTCAAACAGTTATTTTAAATTTTAATAATTTAATAAATTGCATTTTTCATCAAATAAATGCTGCCCTAGTGAGCATAAGAGACTTCTATTATATTTATAAAATTGTACCGACCCCAAATGTTTGTGTATTTTGTAAATTTGTATTTGTTTGTGGTTAGTTGATCATGTGGTTCCTCTGTTAGGACACTTGTGTGAATTTGTGGGCAACAAGATGTATACATCCACTAAAAATCACCAAAACACCAATTTTGACAATTGACATTTAACAAAAGACATTGAGATGATAAAATTAATGAAGAAAAGCAACGTAAGTGCAGGAGCATCCAAGACATGCAGATACTTGATAATGCAATGACATTCAGGCATTTTTCAGTGTAACTTTTTTGCTTTTTTTCCATGTCTGATGCAATCTTCTACTGATCTAAATGTCTTCAATCTGCTTTTAACAGAAAGTGCAAATGCCTAGAGTGACTTCCAGTGGCGTCTTGAGGTCAGACACAGAGCGGTGAACTTGCCATCAGGAGAGCACTCGGGTCTGAAGGACCACGGCGCCCTCTAGAGAACACGGCTAATGCTTAGTGTCCGGCCTCTATCCCCTCCAAATCTCCAGACTTTCATAAGACTGATCTCTCTGAATGATGAAGGGCAAAACGGACGAGAGACAACAGCTGCTTTTGTCTGGTCTGTTTTATTTACAGAACCAGATTTCCTTCCCAAACCTTTAAAGTGCAACCATGTCTGATGCAATCTTCTACTGATCTAAATGTCTTCAATCTACTTTTAACAGAAAGTGCAAATGCCTAGAGTGACTTCCAGTGGCGTCTTGAGGTCAGACACAGAGCGGTGAACTTGCCATCAGGAGAGCGCTCGGGTCTGAAGGACCACGGCGCCCTCTAGAGAACACGGCTAATGCTTAGTGTCCGGCCTCTATCCCCTCCAAATCTCCAGACTTTCATAAGACTGATCTCTCTGAATGATGAAGGGCAAAACGGACGAGAGACAACAGCTGCTTTTGTCTGGTCTGTTTTATTTACAGAACCAGATTTCCTTCCCAAACCTTTAAAGTGCAACGGTTGCATCCACTAAGAAAAGCATGCAGCAGCTGAACGTAAGGATTCTTATTAAAACCTCCATTTCAAATGCTTTCTATGTTTTTCAGCAGCCTTGCAGTCGGATCACTTGGTATGTGTGTAAAGTTCAAACTGTGATTTATATCTAAATATACTTATATATATATATATATATAATATGTGGCCTGCAGTAAACTGTAAATAACTAATCTTAGCAACAGTTGCACCTGTGAACAATATTCGGCTTTTGACAACAGCGATGTTGTGTTCAGCTATTTTAAATGCACTCTTCCTGACATGGACTGATGCATTTCAGCAAACATGCTCCGAAACACGTTTGTTCGCCTCATCTGCTAATAGAGGGCGCGTATATGAAACCCTGAATATGTATATGTATTACTATTGTAAATGACTGTCTGCGTTTAGATCAGAGCTTTTATAACTTGAGAAAAGCCGTACGAAGTGGCAGTATTTCCTATTCGTGCACATCCGTGTGTGGCTGTGGAGTAGAAAACGCCTGATCCTAAGATTTTTCCTTCTCTCGCTTACCTTCGGATGCCTTTCTTCATGTAGTCTTTCTGAAAGCGAACCGAACTGAAACGTCTTATACAGGAACACACAAACTAGCAGTCACCATAGACGATGTAAGTCTTATAACTGACCATATAGTAGTAGTGTGTAAGTCATAGCCATATCACTGTGCTCGCTCCGCAATACCTGGATATTACGCCGTATGTCATTTTTGCTGGTTTCCTGGGGGTTTGTGACAAGCTTTTCTCTGTCCTTTGAGCAGGTCATCTCAAGAAACCTGAAGAGAACATGTCCAGGGCATGTATCACCCTGAAATCAAACATAAACAAATGTGATCCTGGAGCACAAAATCAGTCTTAAGTCGCTGGGGTATGTTTGTAGCAATAGCCAAAAATACATTGTATGGGGGTCAAAATTATCGATTTTTTCTTTTATGCTAAAAATCATTAGAATATTAAGTAAAGATCATGTTTCATGAAGATATTTTGTAAATTTCCTACCGTAAATATATCAAAACTTCATTTTTGATTAGTAATATGCATTGCTAAGGACTTCATTTGGACAACTTTAAAGGCGATTTTCTCAATATTTTGATTTTTTTGCACCCTCAGATTCCAGATTTTCATATAGTTGTATCTCAAATAGTTGTATCTCGGTCCTATCCTAACAAACCATACATCAGTGGAAAGCTTATTTATTCAGCTTTCAGATGATTTATAAATAAAGAAAATTGACCCTTAAGACTGGTTTTGTGGTCCAGGGTCACAAATCTTAAATTTAGGCCTATTTCTAAAATTTATAAAAACTGTTTTATAAAAACTAACAAAACGCAGCTAAACACATTAAAGCTACTTAAAGGGATACTTCACCCAAAAATGAAAATGTGATGTTTATCTGCTTACCCCCAGGGCATCCAAGATGTAGGTGACTTTGTT